AGGATGCGTGTAGGTTATATGCAAATACTACACCATTTTATATAGAGTATTTGAGCATCCTTGGATTTAAGTATCCACAAGTCCTGGAACCAATCTCCTCATGGATATTGAGGGACCACTTTTTTCAATTTCTGATCAGATTTTTAAGTATAAGCTTCTCAATTTTTGATAGTTTATTACCAATGAGAAATTTTGTTTATGTGAAAATGTAAAACATTTTCCTCAACCATTAAAAAATTTAAAAATAGTTGAAGTTATATTAAAACTCATCCTTTTTTATTGAAGTATAGTTGATTTAAAATGTTATATTAGTTTCAGGTGTGCAACATAGTGATTCAATATATTTATAGATTATACTCTGTTTTAAGGTATTATAAAATAATGGCTAAATTTCCCTGTGCTTGTTGCTAATTTATATTATACATAGTAGTTTGTGTCTTTCAATCCTATTCCCCTATCTCAACTCTCCTTCCTTCCATCTTCCCACTGGTAAGCACTAGTTTGTTCTCTGTATCTGTGAGTCTGTTTCTGTCAAAAACTCATCCTATAATTGACAAATATAACTTAGAAAATTTTGTGATATAAGTGTTTTTTAACCCAATTGAACTTTCTCGTATCAGTTATTTTAAAATAATGGTGAAGATTTAATTTATATAATATGTATGTGTTATTAGAGCCATGCAGCAAGCTTGGCTGCTACTAAAAGGGCATAGCTGCAGAGGAACAGCATTAGTCAATATATGCGAAGGTAAAAATTTGGGGCTGTTTCTTAGAGCCATAAGCCCCCTCAAACACAGCTGGTCACACACTGAGTTGCATACTATATTCTTTTGGCATAGAACATGAAACTACTCCAGTAGCTCCATGGGTTCCTTGTCCATGGTGAGCAGTGGTGCATTTGATAGCTGACTTCTGAAATAGGAGTCCATGTAGTAGATCACATTTATGGTGACATGGAGCAGTGGGTGCATGATAGCATTTCTTGTGCTTGCCGCCTGTGCAGGCCAAGGAACATGCCATCAGATCCAGATCCTGTGGTGCTTTGAGCCTCCTTTTAGGAGCCCTGGAATAGATGCTTTCAGCTGCCTAACCTGAATCTGGCCACACTGAGAGATGAGAGGATCAGTATTTTTAGATGCTCCTGTAATCTGTTTACATCATACCTGTGTCCAGTACGTGAGGATGCCTGAGTTAGGGAAGTTCCAAATGTCAACTAAAGCATTATTTATTCCTGATGGATGATAACTGGAAAAAGGAGATTCCATGATCAAATAAATTTGGAAAAAGCTGCATTAAAGTTAGTAAGTTTCTTTACTGTAGAACATCCCAAAGACTTTAATATACTGATATACATTTATAAATCCCCAAGAGAACATAATATTCAGAGTTCCTAGACATTTTTGATCATTGAAGCCTTTTATTGAGAAGCACCTTGAGCAATGAGTGTGAAACAGAACACATTTTAAAAAATTTAGAAAATATTGTTAAAAGGTTGTTAAAAGTTAGTAACTGTCGTTAATGTAAAAACAGAGCCATAGGAGTGGAAGAATACGGTCTTACATTTATTTGTAACACCTGTTTCAGAACACAGGTCAGCATTATATTTACTGGTGAAAGACTAAAATATTCTAATCTATTAAATAATAATGCTTTTAAAAAGCAAAGATTATGATTATCGTTTTATGCATTAAAGTTGTTTTGGTAGTTCTGGCCAGTGTCTTAAGTTGAAGGAAAAATGAGAATTTACATTTTGGAAAGAACAGACAAAATGTATTATCCGAAAATATAAAATAATCAACTGAAAAGAGATGATAAAAATAAAAAGTTTCTGGAAATATATGTATTTAAGATCAATAGCATATTTTAAGAAATCAGTATTTACCTCAACTTCCAGAAATTCTAAGATCTACAAAAAGATTCCTTCACAATATCTACAAAATCCATAGAATACTGAGGCATAATCTTCTTGGAGAATTGTGTGTGACCTATATGAGGAAAACCATAACATGTAACATTTAATTTAGAGATATAAAAAGGGCTGTGTATCTGATATAATGTCTTAGATGTGAAAACTATTTTTGAAATGTTAATTCTTTTAGTGTATAGCTTCACTGCAATAGCAGTAAAACTCCTAATGGTGTTTAACTTAGAATTTCTAAATTTTATTTGGATTTCTGAATTTCATTTGAAAGAATACATTGGTGAGAATATTAATAAAAATTGGTGAGAATATTAATAAACATTCCTAAAAAGAAGATCAGTAATAGTGGTAATAAATAAAATAAGATGGTAATAACTTAAGACTAGAAATGCAGTTCAGAAAGGAATTGATGGCATAGACAATTGATAGAAATAGCCTCCATCACATAAAAGACTATAACACATCATAAAATAGGAGGAAAGAACTCAAGTGCTTAGTAAATTAGGAATTAATAGAATAAGATTAGAAATTAACCTTTCACTTTGAATCATGCGAAAATAAGTTTCAGATGGATTAAAGAGTAAATATATTTTTAAATTATAGAAAAAAGTAGAATTGAGTATTCACCAAATCTGTACAAAAAGGCTGATACTCTCCCTCCTTTTCTCCTTTCAAAGGATATGTTTCTAAACTTTAAAGGATAAGAAGAAATCTTAACAGATGTGACTACCTAAAAATAAGTGCTAATATATTTTATCAGTTGGGAGTTTGGGATTGGCTGATAACAAATGTACAGAATAGATAAACAGCAAGGTCCTACTGTGTAGCACAGGGAACTATATTCAGTGACTTGTATAACCTATAATAAAAAAGAATATGAGAAAGAATATGTGTATATATATGTATACATTCAGTTATATTCAGTTATATATACATATATCACTGACTCACTATGCCTTACACCAGAAACTAATACATTATAAATTTAAAAAATCAAAAAATATAAAGGAAAAAATAATAAAATAAAATACCTTGTTAAGAAAATAATGTAATTTAAAAATAATCTTAAATTTAAAAAAGCATTTATCAGTTTTGTGCAGTGGCAGTGTTATATCAGTGAGATTTTCCCAAGGTGCTTTTGGGACTAATAATAACCTTTCCAATACCCAGCACATTTCAGCTGCATTCAACTTATTGTGTGTCAGTGAGACAGTAAGACAAATGCACAAAGATGAATTAGGCAGGATGGTTCACTCAAGAATTATTGTAACAGTGAAAAATTGGAAACTACCTAAATTAGGAAGTTGGTTTAATAAATTATGGTAAAGTTCTATAGTGGAATATCAAGCAGTCACTAAAAATGATAATATAGTAAACATTTTTTGAGACTGAAAGATATTCACAATTTACTGTTGAGTGAACAACTAGATTAGAGGACAACGTTAAGAGTAGTTAACTGCATGGTAGGATTTGAAGTGATTTTTACTTAGTCTAAACTTCTTACATTTTTTTCTTCAGTAATCATGTGTGATTTTGATGATCATAAAGGAGATGGAACAGTTTTCATTTTAGGAAAAGAAATGCAAACAACTGACCTGGAAAATTATTTTCTGTAATTAAGACATAGGATTAAGTCTTTACTGTTTAAAGAGCTTATACAAATTGTTAAGAAAAAATGGAAGATCCCTGTAGGGATAAGCAGAGAGCATGAATAGACAATTCGTAACACGGAAAATAGAGGTGGTAAACAAGCACTAAGAATCACTATTCAGACTCACCTTTTAACAAGAAATGTAAATTTAAATAATGAGATAACATTGTTTATTAAATTAGTAGAAGTTTGCTGCCATGTTATTTATTATAATAAAGAAAAATTAGTAAGATCAATAAATTGTTACATACCTTTGGTACTGTTAAAAATTGAAGGTTATATAGATTATGTTGCAACCTGGAAAAATAGAATATTTGAATGAAGTAGTTAGGAGTTATAGTTTTTAAACTATGAGTACTAGCAATTATTTAGGTGGGGTAAAGGATGCGGGAGAGCAGGATCTCTTAAGTGAGAAAGATCTGGGTTCAGTCCAGCTCTGCCACTTAGTCTGTGATCTTGGGCCATTTGCTTAATCTCTCTGAGCTTCGATGTCTTTTTTTCCAAAAATGAGATACCCTCTCTGGTTGTAAATGTAGGTGAGCACCTGCCACAGAACTTGGTACATAGCATTCATCCAGTACATTTTTGTTGAATGAATAGTAGTTATTAAATGCTATATATAAAAGGTTGTGTAGGAAGGAAGGAAAATATAGCAAAATGATTAGTAGTTACGTTAGGGTAAGAGGAATATGAGTGATTAAAAATTTTCCTGCTTTCTACAGTTCCTACCATTATATTTATAATTAATTATCTAAACTCATGCTTAATGTCTCCCTTTCCAGTTTTTCTAGAAAAACTATGTTTTTCAAATAGTAAGTACAATATTATCTCACGTAGAATATTGCAATAGCCTCCTAAACTGGTCTCTTTGTATTCTTAACATTATAGCCAAAGTCAATAGAAGCCAGACCATGTCATTTCACTGCTTAGAACCCTCCAGTGGTTCTCATTGAAAGTATAAGACACCATTTTTAAAGTAGCCTTCAGACCCTTTATACAATCTGTCCCCCACCCCCAAACTCACACTCTACCACTGAGCTGTACCCTCCCTCCTCTAGAGGAAGTGAAGCCTGCTAAGTGATACATTAAGAATATTAGGAAGGCGTGGGGAGGGTATAGCTCAGTGGTAGAGTGTGTGCTTAGCATGCATGAAGTCCTGGGTTCAATCCCCAGTACCTCTGTTAAATCAATCAATCAAATTACCTCCCCCCTATTGAAAAAAAGGGTATTAGGAAGAAACTCTGCATGTTCTTCCTTATTAAGAATTTCTACCTGTAACATACTATATTGTACATCAACTACACTTCAATTTAAAAAAATTATGTTGTAAAATAAATAAATTTAAAAAAAGAATTTCTGGTTATTGACATTTTTGTTTTGAATTTTAAATTAAAGTAAAATAATTTTTATTTCCTTTTTCTTTTGCAGAAATAGCAGTAGCAGAATTGCACAAAAAAATCAAAGAAGCTTTTGAAGTGTTTGACCAAGAGTCAAATAATACAGTGGATGTGAGGTTTGGAAATGTTTTCTTCTAATTCTAAATTGCTGATTCAACTCATAAAGTAGAAAATGGTTCATTTCTCCTCTTTTTACATTCCTTGGATTTATTATGCTATTTAATTTATTTTCCTGTGCCCTGTAAAAGGTCTTTTCTGACTGTTGCTTCAGAACTGTTTCTTATTCTTCATAATCTGGTAGAAAGAATATATACCACATCGCATATTCTAACCTATAGACTAAATTCTGTGAATGAGATGAGCTCTACTGTAGCTTTAGTGCTAGACACATGGTTGGCACTCAGTAGATATGTGTTGACTGAATGAATAGAATTTGCTTTTAAAATACATAGGTATGCATTATCAAGCCATGAATGGGATATTACAAAAAAGGATGAATAATGCTTAAACAATGATACACTTCCCAAGTAAAATAACAAGAACCAAAACAAAAGAACATAGAAAGATGAGGAAAAGACATAAATACTGGTAGATCTAGAATGGAGGACTGGAGACAAAGAATAGCTTGAGAGAAAAAGGCAAAAGGTAGAGGAGATTATTCATGAGTATAATAGAAGTTGTAGAATCAGTGAAACCATTCTTCCAGGAGGCCACGCTGAATGAGGAATATTTGATGGGATCACAATCTCAAGACTTAGAACGTAGTACGGAGGCCCACGAAGCAGTGGGAAGTTATTTTTAAATGGTACTGGCAAAAACTTTTATAAACCAGTGCCACTACTTCCAGACTATTCAGGGGACTAAGTGCTTTAAATTTGAGCTAAACTGAATGAACAATGGGAGATTTCATGTATGGCAAATTCTAACTATAGTCATCCCTCAATATCCACAAGGGCTTGGTTCCAGGACTCGCCCTTCTACTCCCATCCATTTCTCCCCCATACCCTACCCTCTGAGGACTTCAAAATCTACAGATATTCAAATCCCTTATATAAAATGGCATGATATTTGCATATAATATACACACCTCCTCTTGTGTACTTTAAATCATCTCTAGATTACTCATAATACCTAATACAATGTAAATGCTATATAAATAGTTGTAAATATAGTGTAAATGTTATGTAAATAGTTGCCTGTGGCATGTGGCAAATTCAAGTTTTGCTTTTGGAACTTTCTGGAATTTTTTCCCCTAATATTTTAGATCCATGGATGGTTGAATCTTCAGATGCGGAACCCACAGATATGGAGGGCTGACTGTTCATGTATTCCTTAGTCTCTCACACCTGAAGGTACAAGGTGTGATTGCAGGAAAGGAGAGTAATAAGTGCAGTCAGTTTCATTACTTTATGGTAACACCTTACAGAGTTTCTTTTGGTGCCTCGACTATGTTTATGGGCTTTACCGAAGTGGGTGAGGTAGAGAGTGGAGTTAAGTTCCAGCACTGCAACTGTAGTCAGCCTTGTAGGAGCCTTGATGCAGCCATTGTCAAGGAAGCATGAGGGTAACTGCAGGCTGAGCACTGCATAGCTCCAAGTGGCGCTGGTCACACTGTATAGCTCCATGTGGCACTGGCACACTGCATGCAGTGTGAATGATACTTCATGGCGCAGCATAGCCTTAGTGTGAGTGTCCCAGCAGGAAAATGATCGGGTGGGATGGTGGTGGTGATAGGGTTTGGGATGGGGTGGGGAGCTTGCAGCTCTTGCCTGCGATTTGAATAACTCAATGTGTGCATGGCACATGCTGTTACTACAGACTTTTCACTGGGGATGGGGAGAGAGGTATTGTTAAAGAAGTCAGGGAAAGTGGAAGAAAGACCAGGATAGCTTTATGAAAGAGAAGGGGAACAGAGAAGAGAAACCAGCATTTACTCAAGGCTTGCTGTCTCATGTCTGCATGTAGTTGGGTGCTAGGGGCTTCATGTACATTACCTCGTTTCAGTCTTTTTACTCGCGTGGTAAAGGTTGGCATCTCCAGGTTTTGGAGACTAGGGGAAGATAAATAGTTTGCTCAAGGTCACGTCAGTGTTTTTTTAGTTCAGAGTCTTTTGCTGTGTCGTATTGTCTCCCTCCCTCTTGCCTCCCCTCCACCCCACCTCTCATGGACTTAATGGGCTCATCTCCTGCTTTTAGGCTTCCTGAAAGTAGCTGTGAAAAGAAAATCTGCCAAATTCCTTACAGCAGTGATGTCAGGCCTTTTTTAGTAAAAGGGCCAATTCAGGGAAAATAAACATATTTATAGGATGCATCTTTTTCCCATTCAGAATTAAAATAATTGTTCTGATGCCCTGAGGAAAACTGTGTATTCTAACAACTTAATATGTCTACTTTATAAGATAAAGAAAGTTACTCAGAAATCAATGCTGAAATATTAATGCTTAGCATATTTGAGTGGTAGTAACATGGTTGAATGCAGTTTCTAATCTTTATTCCTTCAGCTAATTTGTATAGCACTTTAAAGTTTGTAATGAGTGTTCTCATGCTGCTGGTATCATTACTCTCCATTCTTTATAAATCAGAAATTAAGGACAGAGAAGCAAAATGACTTCCCCAAGATCTAATAATGGACTAGCAGCAGTGTTGGAACTCAAATTAGTTCCTTCTGTTTGGGCAGCTGTGCCGCAGCCCTAGAAGAGGCTGGGAATGCAGTGCTGAGTAAGGTCTGGTCCTGCCTTCCCAGCCTCAGCAGGCTATATGTAAAAACAATTCATCTAGCTAGAATTTATTTTGGCATGTTATTAAAAGTGAAAGTCTAAATAGACTTCTAATAAAAATTACTAAACAGCTTATTTTTTTCTTGAATTATTAGGTTCACTTTATGATATACTGCATTTTCTGTAATTGGGTCTAATTTGGGCTATGTGTTCTGATCTATTGCTTTACCTTTCAGTCTTATACTGGGACAATCCTATATTAATTGCTATCAATTTATAGTATGCTTTTCTCTTTGTTAGAACTAGTCTCTTTATTAGTCTTCTTTTTGACTATTTTAATTAAGAATTGAAGGCAGTATTCTGCGTAAAGGTTGAGTGGTGTAAAGAAGGGTCTGAATGAGTGAGAGTTCCAGACAGATCTAAGAGCTCAGTTTGGAAGAGAGAGCTGTTCCTTGAGAGGCTTCCAGGGCATTTGGCTGTTCCTGCGCTAATGTCCCTTATCCCTCAGTGGAGCTATGATGCCATATTCCTTGAAGGGCAGCCGATCACGCCCTCAGAGGTGAGCTTTTGTGGTGGCTACTCCCCACCCCCGTCCCCTTACCTCTGCTTTGCATGAATTGGAAGATTTAATTTGAAATTTTATCACATTAGCCGGAGTGAAGGTCTGGTACTGTGACTGCCAGGCAGCCAGTGGGGTTTTCATCACTATGTAAAACATTATGAAACGGGCCCCTGCTGCTTTCCTCCTGGCTCTGAGGGGCAACCCTGGGGTCTGGAATCAGACTTTCTGGGTTCATTCCTAGCTTTGTGACCATAACTTATATATTCTCTCTATGCCTCAATTTTTACATTTGCTGCATAGGATTGGTGTTAGTAAGTAGTTCTTAAAAATTTTTGGAGACTTGTGTGCATCTCCAGGACCCTTTTAGGGGCCTGTGAAATCAAAACTCTTTTCATAATAAATCTAAGACAGTGTGTGCTATTTTCATTCTCATTTTTCACAAAGTTTTTCAAAAGCTACATAATGTGTGATATTGCAACAGATTGAATGCAAAACCAGATATGAGAATCCAGCTGTCTTCTGTTAAGCCAGACATTAAAGAGATTTGCAAACATGTAAAACAGTGTCATTCTTATAATTAAATTTATTTTTTGTTTTGGAAAATATAGTTATTTTTCATAAAAATTATATTATTTACATAAACATATAGTGGGTTTATTGTTATGTCTAAATAATAAATAACGTTTTAAAATTTGAGGTTCAATTTGTAATATGGTAAATATAGATTAATATAACTCAGATAAACAAAAGTTCTTTATGGGTCTGAATAATTTTTAAGAGTGTAAAAGGGATTCTGAGACCAAAAAGTTTGAGAACCACTGTTATCAGTGGACATTTTTAAAGCTCTTAGAACAATATTAACTCAAATTTAAGCTTAGAACAATATTCGTTAGGATTATTATTCTACTTTATATTCTTGAAGTAAGACTTGCTTTTCCTCTATTTAATCTGGATTAGCAATATTATATTGTACTTGTAAGAACTTTTTATTTGTATCTGTATGTTCTGTTTGATCTTTTAAGTTCTGAAGCACTTCATTTTCTTTTTCATTTTCCTTGTCAAATAGTTTTTGAAAGTTGCGTCTTGGAAAACATCGAGGCAGGTTTTCAGTATCATTAAGGACATTTTTATTTTGCCACATACAAAATGTAGAACATTTTTACTTACATACATTTTCCTGCTCTTTGTTCAGATTTCAGTCAGTAAGAGTGAAAATTATATTTTTGAATAGATAATATATACACATGGGATAAAATTCTAAAGGTACAAAGAATATATAGTGATAGGTAAATCTCTTCAACTGGCTCTCCAGTTCCCTTTCTAAAGGCAAGATTTGTTATAAATTTCTCTAATTCTTCCAGAGATGGTCCATGCAAATACAAGTAAGTGTGTGTGTGTGTTTTTATTGTGGTAAGTAAACACTTTAACTACTTTAAAATACATAGTTCAGAAGCACTAGTTACATTTACATTATTGCCGTCCATCTCCAGAACTTCATCTTCCCAAACTGAATCTCTGTACCCTTTAAACAATAACTCCTCGCTCTCCCCTCTCCCCAGCTCCTGGCAACCACTCTTCTACTTTCTGTCTCATCTGTATGAGTTTGACTACACTAGGTTCCTCATGTAAGTGGAATCATATAATATTTGTCTTTTTGTGTCTGGCTTATTTCATTTAGTCTAATGTCTTCACAATTCATCCATGTTGCAGCATATGTCAGAATGCTAGTCCTTAAGGCTGAATAATGTTTCACTGTGTGTATATAGCACATTTTGTTTATCCATCCATCTGTCCATGGACATTTGAGTTGTTTCTACCTTTTGCCTGTTTGAATAGTG